TATTTTTTATATCAAGTATTTTAAGATATTTTATGTAACATTAAGCAGGTTATAAAACTTTATGATTTGTGTAACACTTGTTTGGATGTTTCCTGTAATTGCAACCTCTTTGTTTTCTCCGTCTTATTACTATTATTATAAACCTTTTTTTTTGGTATTTCTTATTAAAGTATAAATGAATTTCGTACGCATCCGACCATCCCTGCGTGTTTATCAACAGCCTGGTGAAACTTGAGCGCGGCTCTTGGAGAGGAAGTAGTTGATTTATGCTAATGAAGGAGTTGGGGTTTAGCTACGCTGGCTGGGAGCCGCCCTTCATTCACCACATGGTTAAAGCCAGACTCTACTCGCGCCACTTTCGCAATCTTACTACGATTCCTCCAAACTCCTGGCAAACCATAATAGCAGCACATGGATCCCACGTCCTGGCTGCTGGTCCACCAGCCGAGTCCTTCTTCCACCACCATCTCTTCTCCCCCCCCAGTTTTCCAGGAATCCGCGGAAACAGCGTGAGTAAACGGTAAGTGTGAACAAGTGAGTGAAGATGGTGGATTTCTTTTTTTTTTTTTTTTCCCCTCTTTAGAAGCCAGTGTCTTATTACGCGCGTGTTATTGACGAGAAAAACCTGTTGTTGGCGATGTCGCGGTTAAACGTCCGGAAAGTGGAAGGCTCCGCGGCGCAGGCGACACCGGAGCCGCACTTTGACGCGTCGCATTCGGTGGAAAACAAACCGTTTTTTAATCGCCAGTTTCCACATTTTGAAAACAGTTTTGTGGAAGAGGGGGAGCGCACGGAAGCCTCCTCTCCTCCACGGTTGGAGAATGAGGGAGATTTGAAAAAGCTGCTGCAGCTGCTGCACCTCCTCCTGCTCCTTCCTCGCTGCCTCGGGGTTAGCGAGTCGCGTTAGTTGGGGAGAATTTGTGCCATACTGCGCTTTGCTGGTGGCCGCGAGTTTCTCGAGTAGTGTCGCCGCTTCTCGTCGCCCTCACGTCGGCAGGATTTTGGGAAGTTTCCGCGGTGTGTGTGCGCGCTGCTGGAAGTGGCTCCAGAACAAAGCACGGCAGCACATGGGGCTCCAGCAGGCCGCGCGCCCTCGCTATCCCGCGAGCCGCCGAGCTAACTGCTAATGCTAGCACACCGACGAGGAAGATGGCGTTAAGTTGCTTTATTGACATTGGCCTGACTCGCCTTGGTGTGTGTGGTTAAGGGGGGACTGTTTGTATCTGCAAGCACCCTGGAACACGCTGATGTTTAATGTTGGCGTGTGTGAGTAAGCTACACTGACGGGAGCTAACGTGGCTAAGGGAGAGCATTGCTTTGAAGTGGACGCAGAGTTAACGCTAGCCTGCTAACTCCATCTTACTTTTAAAGCCACTTCCCCCCGCATCATATCTCCCATCATAAGTAATATATATGTGTAGTATCAAATCGTGAACGAATTATAACATTTAGCGAAAGAGTATCACGATAGCGTGCTGCACGCGTTAGCCTTTAGCTAACACATGCTTGCATCGTTGTTTTGATGGAGCCCTGGGGTGCTGCTAGCTTGTTGTGTGCTGGATTTTGCCCTAAGTTTTTTTTGCAGAAGCTCGAATCATACGCATCGTGCGCGAGCTCTACACGAGCGCACACTTTCACCTGCACCTGCTTTTAGCGAGGAAGATGTGATAAAGTGCGCAGACACACCGCCGATGTAGTTACACTCGTGTGCTGTCGCCCAGGACATAGATTAAATGTTCAAAACGCAGACTCCTGGGCGCCATGTTAGTGCGTGGGGGAGGGGTACGGCAATGTGACCGATCATAGCCCAAGTGTTTCTGTCCACGTTTCCCCATTCAACTTAGTTAATTCACACACGCCTACACGTGGTCGCATATGTTAAATCAATGCACCAGCTTTAACACAACGTTTTTCTCTTTCTGGATCCATATCTCTGTCGAGTTGCATGGCAATAGCCAATGAGGCGCGTTATTGGGCAATGCCTCCATGCTCCTTATGTCAGGGCTTTATGCAAGGATGAATGTGCAGAACGCAAAGTGAA